CTGGTGATGATTGGCTTAAGCTATTTAAAAAAAATAATCCCACTTGATGTGAGAGCGCTACGAAAATCATGTTTGAAGCGCTTCGAGAATACAACGCCGGCAGTGGAATGGCTTCAGTGCATTAAATGTTGCAGATGGCTTCATCATACGTGCACATCATTTAAAAACAAGGAGGAAAAAAAACAAGGGAAAGAAAACCTTGTGGGGAGAAAACAATTGCCGAAAAGTAAACACATTTTCTTAAACCCCTATTAGCAATCTGTCTCATACTCAATGCGTCGTCTCACTCATAAGATGCGGAGCGATTGCCAAATTCAAAATTTCGTTTCTAATTTTTTTTTGCAAAAAATGTGTATATGTATAATACTGTTGCTGTTATGCAGATGAAATTCAGTGAGTTTAACGTGAAATGTAAGCGACAACTGTAGTAGTATAATAACTGCATATATTGAACGAAGTTATGAATTTAGTAAGATAATTTCGTAATACTAAAACAACGGATAAATGCAATTTCGGCAATAAAAATTCAGGTTTTACCGTACGAATTCCTTGAAAGACTCATGTGACCAGGTTATTTGAAAGTCGATATCAATTACATAAGCCACTCATTGGCCACGCATTCTACAACCATTTTTAAAATAGAACTATTAAAACCGATTGTTGATTTTTGGGTAATGGCCTGATAGAGACACTCACACACATACACATTCAATGTCAAATGGTTCATTGCAATGATAAACACACGAGATTGCCGATGTTTTCGTTAGCTACCATTTGCTCTTGAGGACCTTATCGTAGTTTAAGAATTGACTTTAATGCACTAGATAACGAATGCGAGTGTAACCCAATCTATATCTTGCTAGTTTCAATATCTTCATATAATAATAGCGTTTTACCTTGAGTTTATTCTAAAGGTTCACTCCAAAGTTCAACAATCTATTGTAGTAGGGTACCATGTCACTGATTCAATTATGCAAGTAAAACGCCTAGGAATGGATTTTCCCTTTAACTAACAACATATGCTTAGTTCATGCATTGAAGAAATGTGATAAGGAATTTAAATAATTTAAGAGTAAATCGAATAAAAAAAGGTTCCTTTCGAGATCATTGAGCCAATACGCGCAAACCTGTGCATAATAGCTTGACCGAGAACAGGTCAAACAACTTAAAAAATGTAAATTTTACTTAATTTGCATTTATAGTTGTTTTAATAAAATGTCGTTGAATTTACTTCTATTAATCTGATCAGGATTAAAGTTCATTTTTTCCTTTCTCTATCAATTATAGGGCAATTATAATTATTATTTATTAAACAGTGTGAAATGACCAAATGAAATAAC